TCCCCTGAAGCTCTGGCTTGGGCCACTGTCAGAAGACAGGACACTGGGCGAGATGGACCATTGGTCTGGCCCAGTCTGGCTGTTTTTATGTTCTTAACCTGAGCTGCCAGGACCATGAGAGCTGGGGACATAACTGTGGAAGAGAGCCTGGTAGGTCATATGGAGACTGGTCATGGGAAGGGTGGGACGAGCTGGAAGAAAAAGGGAGGGGAGAAAAACTAGTGGTGTTTCATGTCAACTTGTTAGGAGGGGAACTGGGGATAACACTGGGGGTGGGGGACTGGGAGTCAGGACTCCTGGGTTCCTTTTCCAGCTCTGGGAGGGGGCTGGGATCTTGTGGTTAGCACAGCGGGGGGCTGGGAGCCTGGATTCCAGAGTTCTATTCCCAGCTCAGTAACGAACCTTCAACAATTCCACTTCCTACGCCGGTGCCTTAGTTTCTCTCTGTGTTGAAGAGACGACCAAACCCACCAGGGGCTGGGAGGATGAATCGTTTGTGTGTGAAATTCTTTCAGCCCCTCAGACGAGACGAGCCAAGTGTCATTAGTAATAATGAAACTGACTGACTTAAAAACAGAAGAAATAATATTCGAGATGAAATAACGGGGAGATTCTTGGTATAACTCTGGGTTTTGTAAGGCGGTAGGTCATGGGGGTGGGGCCGCTCTGCACGAAGCATCTCGAGAAGCGGAAAGTGGGTGTTTGACACGGACAAGGGCAGAAATATGTTACAGGAACGCTCTGCAGAAGAGACGCTGGGCCGGGTGTCACTACCTAGCGCACAGCGAACGCGCCAGCAGGGGGCGCTACAAATCTCGATTGTGCATCGTGCCCATGTCGGGCAAAATCTCTGGGGCTGGTGCTTGAAAGGCAGAGCAATCCCTGATGTTCCAGGGCGGTGACTGAGGGGGTGGGACATGGGCTGGGGGCTGCTTGCACTGGGTGGCCCCTGGTTCGCCTGGCACGGGTCACGTTATCGCTCCGCACCCGCCATGACCGTACAGCCCTCGAGCGCGTCCCCCCGGGCGTCTCTTTGCCAAGCTGACCAGCCCCCGTCTTTTCAATCTCTCCTCAGAGGGAAGCTGGCTCACAACCCCAGATATTCTTGTTGCCCGTCTCGGCCCCTTTCCCAGATCTGCCCGCAGCGTTCACTCCCCCTGTCCTGGAGGGGGCGGGCGGGGGGACGAGCCGGGTCTGGCAGCTCCAGTCCCCTGAATGCGCCAGAGTCAGATGGACCCGAAAGCAGCCGGAGCCTTTCCCAGCGGGGGCTGATTCCGGGAAACACTTGGGATGTGTCGGCCGCGCGAGCAGGGCCCTGGCGGGAGCTGGGGGGCTCTGGGTGGACATGCAGGGAGGGGTCACCAACGACCTTCAGCTGGAAGAAAACCCAACGGGAACCGGCGGCAGCGTTTCATTTCGAAAGGCCGGTTTGTGTTCACACGGAGCTGGGCTGGGTTAAAACCGCAGGCCCCGAAAGCGTAAACACCACGTTGGAATAACATGGAAAAGGGGGGGTCAGATTCAGGTCGGACGCCTCGTTTGGAGCAGAAGCTCCCAAATGGAGGGAGGTTCATCTTAAAAAAAAAATTAAAAAGGTAAAAACCCACCCAAAATAAAACGAAAAAACATCATTTTGGGGTAAAAAATCCCGTTCGTTCAGCCCCCAAACAGATTTATTTTGGGGGTTTTGCTTTGACGAGACCACCAGACACGTTCCCCTCTCAGGTGGAGTCGAAACAATTCCCCCCCTGGATTTTCTGGTCACTGAATGGAAACAAATCAACCTCCGCTCAGCCCGCGGCTTCCGGGCAGCCGAAGCGAGCTCGGAGACGGGGTGTAATCGAGGCAAGAGGCCTCTGCGTGCCCCATGGCTCCATCCCGGGGGCTCTGGT